GTTCGGAAACGTAGCTGCGTGGAAAAGAAAAATACATCAAACACGGAACATCCAATTACAAATATCTCTTCGTTCGCGACAGTATGATTTTAATGGCTTTCTACCGAACGTGGTATATCACGAAATTGGAGCAAATCATTTGGACAATCTCTCTCTTTCTCTGTCGAAGATTTCTGACAGATCTGTGTGATCGAGGTAAATTGTCAAACTACCGTGAAACTATCTCTTATTTAATGCACGTAAATCGGTGTATAAATAAGATTGGCTTAGAAAATTACTGTCTCTAATTGACAAAAAGATCTATCAAAAATTAACATAATCAATTTAATTACATCGTTTTGTAAATAATTGTGTTAAATCTAATAGATTTTATCGATTACGGTTAGTAACTTTCTGTTCATAATTTAATAATTATAAAAGAAATATAACAATGATAATTTTACGTTTCCTAACCCGGATTATATTATATAAAAGACGCCATAATATAAAAATGAAAATGGAAATGTACATATATTTATATATAACATTCAATAACAATCAATGTAACAAAATTAAACTCACCATAATTGCTCCAATTATTCAAAACAACAACAACAATATCGGTCCGTGGCTCGTAGCACCTTGCGAGGAAAGATCCTTCGGGCAACGTCTTATTAATGGAAAAACAATATAAACGGAAAGAAAATTCAACAACGCGAGTATTGCCGGCAGATCAGAAAGTGAGAAAAAAAGGATCTCGATTATTGATATGGATCAATGATCGAGGATCCGCCGCCGCATGATCGGAGAACTGTCACTGACAGCAGTTCGGGAAACACTGACTGGTGTGGCGAACAAACCTGCTGTCATTCTCTCTCTCTCTCTCTCTCTCGATCACTTACTCTTTTTCATTTTCCCTCTCTCTAGACATATTGCTCTCCTAGTCTCTCTTTCTCTTTCTCCCTCCCCCTTCTCTCTTTTTACCAACCTCCCTCTTCTTGAACGGAGAGTACACTCTCTCTTCCTTGCACTCTCTGTACAATTTCGCAGCACACCTCTAGACGGCGGCGACGACGATAAAGATATCACGGCTATGACAAAAGCGATGATAACGTCTACGACGAAAACGTTGACACGTATTAACCCTTTTGGTGTGACAACGATGGCAATTAAAGCCGCCTTTCATTTCGCGAATAGTAAATGTTAGTACACGTTATAGCTAAATCGATCGTGCGAGATAACGTGAAAGATCGGCGTTGGCAAAAGCACTGGACTTCGCCGGGGGGATAATTATATAGTATATCGGTCATATTTACTGTCCTAACCATTCTTGCTGTCCATTTATATTGCCGTCTTTTTTGGCAATCATATGAGAAATTACGACTTTAATTTATAATACAATCGAAGCTAGACTGTATGAATTTTTCCAAATAATTCGTAGATTTGTAAATATTTACGAATATTTCTAAAAATATTTACTTGGCTATATTTGATGGCAAAAATTAGTAATAATTTTAATATAAGAATTTTAAAACTATTTTTAATTATGTGTGAATGTGTCTCGCATAATGTCAATCATAATAATCGGCACAATTTTTCAAACCACGCGTTTTCGAATGATAAAATGCTCATCATAAAAAGAACATAAAGATGGCATCGTATAAATAAAACTTTTGCGTAATTGCGCAATTGTTAATTAAGACAAGTACATGACAGCTATACATCAGCATTAATTATATAAATCCATTTCTCCTTTATATTACATAAATATATATTAACATAATTATATTTAAAAATTCTGATAAATACAGTAAGAGCAAAAAATATTCGTACAAGGAAATTTATTATAAAAAAAATCTTATTTGTAGAAAATAAACATTAATTAACAATTTTATACAATGAATACATTTTATTCTAACATAAACAAGCGAGCTTCGTATGTATTTCTGATTTTAGAAGCTAAATTTCTCGACTGTACGAATACTTTTTGAGCATCCAAACAATATGCAATTTTTAATTTTCGCTTATTTTTCAAATATATTTTTTATAATTAATACACATCTTTTTGGTATAATTTTAAGAAATATACAGTCTATTTTATTCTTTATGAATAAATTGTTAATTACCCAACAAGGAATGATCGTCAATTAAACGTCGAATCGACGTCAAATCGGTGTTGAAATCATCTTATCAATATTAATTCGACATCAATTTGATGACTCATTTCTCGCTGGATAATATTTACTTTTTAAAAATAAAGTTTTTTTTAAAAATATTTTCTCTATACGAGTACTTTTTGCACTGACTGTATATAGAAAAACATGTGACATTTCCGCGATTATTTAAAACGCGATATCAATCGTTAAGAAAGCGGAACAAAAAATTAAATAAAAATTAAATAATATAAACTTAAAAAGTCGATGAACTTTGTCACTGTATGACACGAATGCTTTAATGTAAAGCAAAACGACTGCATAATACGACTGGTATAGACGTAATCGATCGGTTATTTATGTTGCAACACTTGCAATATAATTGGGGAAATGTTCCAGTAAATTGTCGACGGTGATCGTGTGATTATTCTATATCGGTCGCGCATGATGCGATAGGTAATTCAGATGGTGCAGCCAGCAACATTATTTATCAGCGTAAATAATCTAAAAGTGGTTCAGATTGACTTACTGCGATAAGGAGATTTCTAGCGATAGATTCAAAACGTCAGACCATTTTAAACGTATGACGAAAATCTTCTCTCAATCAGTTTTATAAATTATCCGATTATTTACCTTATCTTTATCCTTTTCTGTGCATTTTATTATTTTTTTTTTATAAAATAAAGATCTATTATTAATAAATTATTTAGTTCATAATGTAACATATAATAAGACTTTTAAATTACAATATAAGCAAATGCATCATATAAGGAAGAAACCTATTCTTAATGAATTTCCGTGTAAGTTCTTGATTACTAATCTGCTTTAATCGTATCGTTCTAATTATCTATCCGAAAAATCCAGTCTAATTAAGACTGAAGTTTTTAAACTTTCGCTGAGAAAAGAAATCAGTTGCAAATCACTTTCAAAATAAGTACATTTCTTCTGAATGCCAATTTCGAAGACGCTACACAGATGCGTGCATGCTTTGCTAATGAACGATTCATTTTAAACATTTTAATACCGTATTTATGTTTTCTTGTCATTCTGTACAACATAATTCATAATAATTGATCACAAATTTCAAAATCTTAAAGCATACTTAATGCTTTTGCTTCAAGTCTTTTCTCAAGATTTAATACTTATAATCATTCATGTTGAAACACGTTTCAATCAAATATGAAACATAATTAAGGATGTATTAGATACATAGTCTCTGCAAAAAAATTACTGAAATTGAAAATTTATATTTTTCGCGTATAAATATTAATATTATATATTTTTTCATATTTTTTTTTGCTTTGTGTCAAAGTACGTGTATATAATACATTCTTAATTACATACACTATAATTCTTGCGATTGTAACGAATGCTGTCTTCCTATGTTAAATCATTTTGCAAATTAATCGCACGTAACGACTCCTAGGAAGAGGGATCCTAATTCATGTCGCTGTCGTGGAGATATGCCGTTTGTTGATTCTTAGATCTCGCTCGTTTAAGAGGCGAAAGTGAGCCTTGCGATTCTTCCTCTGCGGGTCATACCCGCTTTTCATTTCCTTTTTTCACCTTTTTACCGACCATCTTCGCTGTTTTATGCCAGTAAGAATTTTAATACCTCGTCTGTGTATGAAAATACCTTCGCTGTTCCTTTCTCTCCGCCGTCAGGCGATTCTAACGATCCGTAAGTATCTGCATAATTAACGTTATAGAGAAATATAAATTGCTCGGACAGCGCTCGCTTGCGCTGCAATTTGTCGAAACGGTCGTTATACCCCTTTTCCCTCAAACCTCGCCGCTCGCGGTTATAATAAGCGCTACTATCACGTTTCGAAAATTACTTCTCCGCAGGGGGGTTTATTTGTTATACGTTATATTCTTCTATGTTCCTTTCCGCATGTCAATGTGGATTACCCAATACGCTAGTGATTGGAAACCCCTGATCTCATATACCTGACGCGATTATGGTGCGCAACAAATTGGAGGCTTCTTCTATCGTTTAAATGAGATTTTATATAAGGTAATTTCGATAGACTCTTAAGAGACGGCCGAACGCAACCGGGCAAAACATCGCGCACGAACGTATCAAGTGCCGTCTCTAAAGCCCATAACTTTCGGAACGTGGTTTTGTTCGTGGTTTCACGTAGCTCTCACTCACGTTGCAGGTTTTGTGTTATATGAAACAAGAGCAGTTATAACACAGTTTGTTTAAAATTACTTTGGATATTGTATTACGAAATTGGAACCGGCTACAAAACATGCTGTACCAGCGAGCCTGAAAAAATCAAATCGTATACAGCCTCACCTAAGTGAAAAGATTAAAAATCTTCAGATTAAAAATCTGAAAATAAGTTTTTGAACATTTATACGTATGTAGATTTTATATATATGTAGATATTTGTTGTTTATAAATGAAAGTTATATGTATTTTACTTAAATAATTCTAGTAAGAAACGAAATAACTTTTCTTAGAAAGCGTATAGAATTTACTAAATCAAACTCCATGCGTTTACTTATAATTTATTCGTTCCAATTTTATTTTTGCAATATTATGTCATCACATTTTATCTTTCACATACATAAAAATTATCTCAATAAATTCAAGATTTCTATAAATAACAATAAATGCGATCTCCATACAAGTTGACTCACAAGTTAGTAATATCTTTGTAAAATGACGTATTATTTTTTTTGTATAACAATAATTATCAAAATGTTACATGGTTTATATTCCATTGATTCGAATATAAAAATAGCAATATGATAGAGAACATTTTGTTTTATTTATATATACGTAAATAAAAAATTAAAACGCGAAAAATTTTTAGCAATTTCGGAATCTCATGCACGCATCATCCGTATTAGCAGAATATTTTGTTGTATCTTAACAAATCGAGAGCAAAGTCTAGTGATTTTCCAGAATTTCGCAAGCGTATCATGAATGTCAGTAGAAACGCCTAACAACTAGTCAGACGACAACGATTGAGGATAAAAGAGAAAAAGAGAAAGACAATCGAATGCAACACGGTAGCGATTCTGGTTGCGCTTCAGATAATTAAATTGAAGATTCAATAAAAAACTTGTGTAACGTTTTGCCGTGCATTTTCCTAAAACAAGTAACGAAAGCAGAAAACTGGATTTGGATTTCAATCGCTGGTTATGTTATATATTTTCGTAAGAAATTCGCGCAGAATTACATACAAGAGTAATTATAATTATTATTACAATAATAACTGTATGTATATTCGTACAATACGAATATATATATTTATGTATACGTGTAACATTAAGAATAAATTGCATTCATGGGTTGATCGATGAATGGATAAAGTTTCACACCGCAAGTGCATCGGCGAGTGAGATGTGCAGGGCGACGTCGCGCGGCATGCGGCAGTTGATTCGACGTCGATCGATCCAGGCGGAAGTGGTTTATCTGACAAATTTTTCCATTTTCTCCTTTTTCTTCTCATCTCTGTTTCCTCTTTGCGAATGCAAACCATTTGAATTTGACGCAAATTGTTAACAGCGCGCGATTGCTTCATAAGATCGATTACGAGATATCGTTTTTCATTTTCCTTCTCCTTATCATTTACTTTTTTTGTATCTTTTTTTTGTCTGTGTCAACAGGCTTATTAATGCACAGGCTTTGAGTTACCTCAGGGTATCTTTACGAATAACGTCTCGAATGGCACAATTAACGAAGGATAACGATACCTCATAGGACGACACGGATCAGGAACTGGCCAGCGAAGCCGCACGTCGCGCGATCGTAGAACAGTCCTGGAGGAACGGAACGGTCCGGCAAATAATTTGCTCCAGTTCGATCTTCAATCGACAGATTGACTGCGAAATTGATCATAGCCACGTCTTTATTTTGGCGGGGCCGGTGGACGATCGCTTCGACGATCGAATAAGATCTGCGAATCGCGATCGAATCGCAACGGACGTCTACCGGCATCTCTTCCTCTTCCTCTTGTGTGCTTCTCCTCCTACTCCTCCACTCCTCTTCCCTCTTCATGATCTCTGCCTGAGATTTCTTTTGCCGCGGATGAACGACCGACTCCTCTCCTCCTCGGTTTGTATGCCCGCTTCCTTCTTCTTCTGTTGCTCTTCCTCCGCTCTGGCCCCGATTACATGATTATGCACTTGCCTTTCTCGGCCCAGGGATTGTTCTTCTTGTCGGGAGCGTGTATCAGTGGGTCATTCCTCTCGTTCTCTTCCACGTACTCCCGCATCCTGCCGAGAAGAAGAATAAGAGGGTCAAGCCGTGCGCCAGTCTCGCGTAATGCTGAAATTGCAACCTGGCAACATGCGTTACTACTCCAGCGTAGCTTACCTAAGACTATGGCGCAATAAACATGCGATTGTGATTCGTTCTAGTGGAATTAATTCTTCATTCTACGCGACCCTTTATCTCTTCGTAGGTGAATCTTTTATTTATTCATAACATGCGTAAGAGGGTTGATGCAATTAGACAAATCCGTTTTCAAATATAAAATATAATTTCAAAACTTTAGAATATCGTCATAAAAATAATATATGTACCATCTTTATATCAAATACTATATATTTAAAATACTTATAAATCTCTAAAATTATACTCATAAACTTAAAAATAATATTTTTTTATTTCATTTATTAACAAATTATATATAATATATTACTCTCTAAATCTCGTGGAGTGAAATCTCACTCGAAGAGACTGAAAATTTAGCCTGTCTTAAAGAAAGAATGAAAATACGGTCACTCTTGTTCAAGAGTGACAGATTTTCACTCTTTTTAGAGTATTTTTACGTTCTCTAATGAAAGTATTTTTCATTTGGAGACAGGAAAATACACCAAATTATCGATATCATATACACGCCTCTCGCTCTCGATAATGGATATTTCTCGGTATTACGCGTTTTATGGTGAACGCCGGTGCATTGCTGGAAACTTGCCGAAGGCTCGGACCCGGTATTTTCCAGGATCTCCTGGAGAATGTCTCGCGAGACGTTCATACACGCGCGATACGATTACCTCCGATTTTGTAGATCGCCGATAAGTTCGCGCCTCCGCATATAGAGCGGCCGATGCGAGTCGACCAACCGGCCAATCGTTCATTTTGCGAGGAAGTCGGTGAAAGGGACTCGGTTCTCGGTTCGCTCGCACGGCCGATTTTGCGTTCAAGGAGAGTCGCAAAAGCGGCAACGACAACGGCACGAAGCTTTCGAACTTTGTTGCTAGACGCTCGCCAAAATGTCCGTGGAATTCCTTCCTGCGGGATACGAGAGCCGTAGATACCGGTCGGCTACGTACGAGAACGCATTTAACCCTTCACTGCGTTTATTGCACATAAATGACGGCTGAAAAGCATGTTTAACGTTGTCGCTTAAGCCTTCATCGTCAGAGCATGTATGAGCAAATATGCGACATTTGTTTTGAGTGTCAGCCGCAGTGCTTACGCGCACGAATGGCGAGGTCAACGCACATTTTATAGCTACGTGTATTTTTCAATAAATTCTCGTAAAAAAGATCCTTTTGATATTATTAATTCGAATAAAATCGTAAATAAATATTTTGTGTAAAGAAATGTATGCACTGCAAAATCAAACTGCATCTAATCGTTGCACGAAATACCTATATTTTTCTAAATTTTCACAATACGAGCGAGAAAACATATGACTTTTTATAATGAACAAAAGAATATTTTTCTCGTATCATATTCCTGAGTTCTTGACCGTCATAACTACGCATAAATTTTATTTGACTAACGATAATCATATTTCGTGCTTGATCGGCATTGATTTATCACAGTTCGTGCGGGAATCGCGAACTTTCACTTATCAGAGTCCGTCGCGCAATTTTTAAGTGAGGGTGAACGACCTTCTCCGACACCCGTGTCGTAATGTAATAATAAATCGATTCACGTTTCTGCGACGTCTATTATTTACCGACCGTCGTTTATATAATGAGCAGCAATCAGAAATCAGAGCGATTCCCGGAGTCGCGATGTCAAACGAGAATCGTCAAGCGGATCAGTTGCAGAAATGAAATATATATATGAACGCGATTCTGTTTACTTCACGCTCGAATTCACGGTTTGTCTCACTTTCGTGTCTATCTTTAGCCTGGCGGATGGAAGTCGCAATTTAATGCACGAAGATCGAGTGAAACTATCGGTTGACAAAAATACCAGGGATTTTCTAGTATTTCTAGTTTAACTAAATATTCACGCGCCGTTAACATTACTTGTGTCACGAAATTTGAAAGGAAGCACGTGCCCCACTTAATAAGATTAATTCTCTCGAAATCAATTAGAAAAAAGGGAAGAAAGTTTAAATCTTAAAATTGAATTATAAAATGAAGAAGTAAAATGTATATATTCCTTTTGCTATTTTTTCCCACATCTCTAAAGTATTATTTCAATTATAATTTATTTTATAAATTAGAAATTCTTGATAATTTATTTATTAATGATCATTAACGCTACTAAAGTACTGCGTAACGAAGTAATGAGACTTCCACGGCGTACCGCGAAAATAAGAGCGTATTGGAAGAACACGACCCACATTGTGTGCCGATGAATGCAACAGGCGTCGGGTTCAACCGAGTTTAAAGGAGGTCATCCTAAATTCAGGAACTGAGACGCAACGTCGGCACACATTGCACCGCGCCGCTGCCGCTACTGTAGGTTAACGTCGACATTTTGCGCACAGTAATTTCTATTCTAGTCGTGTGTACGATTGGTCTCTTAATTAAACCGGAATTAGATCGTTACAGCGAGAAACTGTCCGTGGCGCATGGGCGCATCGTTAATGGACGATACGATTCGGCGGGCATGCGGAAAGTAGACGGCGATCTTTTTGTTCCGGTGCGTGGTTCCGCTTGCGGAACGACGCGGAACGACGCGGAACCGCGGCGCGTTCAGGCCGACAACGGTCGTTTCTCGCGGCGCGGCGGTTTTCGAGGCGAGTATCGTGAACGCGCGAAAGCAAAAAATTTCCGCGGTCTCGCGAGACTTCTCGAGCGGTGAAAGGCGGCGGGCACCCCCCTCCCTCCCCATCCTCACCGCTTCGCGCGTCACCCCCTTTTTTCTCCTCTTTCTTTTTATCCCTTGCCGATCGACCTAATCTCGCGCTCCGATAATACGACGATACAATTTCCACGCCCGCTTCCTGATCCTTCCGTTCTCTTTCGTCTCGCGTGATATTGACGTAATACCGGACCTTGCAAAATACCCGTGATGCAGGTGATTGGGGATGCTTTCAGCAAATTGATACCTTCGCTCGTTTGCCATCGCATAGTATCGATATTTTTAAATATTGGCACTGCTAGTGATAATCAAGAAAAATGAAATAGTATTAATAAGAAGATTGTCGCGTTTGATAAAATATAAAACAAGTCTATAATATACAATACAAAAATTAACAGTATCAATAATATTTAGAAAAAATTTCATTGACTTTTACCGTACCATTTTGGAGATATTTAATTCTAAATTTCTAGAATTTTGTATTACAAGTTGAAAGTATAATCTTATTCTATAGTCATTCTCTTTTAAATTGAGACACTTGCGTATAAGACAGCAATTTAAAAATCGTTATAATTATAAAGTAAACACTTAAGTTTTTTCTCGTAAAGTTTCATTTAAACTGACCGTACAGTTTACAAGAAATTTATATTTTCAATGAAAAAAGCTAGAATGTATGTCAAATGGACAATGCATATTAAATGAGCATCTTACTTTTATTTTGTCATTTTGGAAATATTTAGTAACATATAAAATTGACAATAATTATGTATAATGGCATAAGATATTGTTAGTAATCTTTTTACTCCATTATTTTAATTATTTTACATATTATTATGAATAAAAAAAAACTGTCTATTGACTAGGAAGTATAGCGCGAGAACCTCCTTAATTGATAAAACTAAACAGAAAGGAAAATTTATTTTTTTAGCAAAAGCGAAGTACTATAACGCACAAGTTTCGTTTTATAAACGAATTATTGTAATTATTTGGATATATAATATATACGATTTAAAATAAATTGTGTCTACTAAGGTAAGAAAACTGTCAGTTCGAGTGCAGTTGTTTTATATAACTTATAATACAATGAGTACTTTTTTCCGTATAGGCTTGTTATCTACGAAAGGTCGTTAACATCGCCATTAAATCGATCGGAACGTGCGTTAAATTCGCATTTAATCTCGCAATAACTCAGCCGTGCTCGATCATTAGCGAGAGTGTGACATGCGCAGGATATAATTAACTGGAGCCGGACCGATTGAAACAGACGCGGGGATAATCCTCGCGTAAACTCTTTCCGCACGATCCCATTTACGCGTGACGAAACCGCGAAGACATTACATTGAGAGACGATCGAAATGCAATTGGGGCCAGCTGCGGCTCAATTAGATCATCGCCGATCATTGAGTCATCATAATCGCCGCGTCAGGTTTTGTACGGACTCTCGCTCTTCTCATCGCGCTCGTACCTCGCGTACATAAATGCGCGTTCCCTGAAAGTAATCGTGTGCCGTAAAAACGCGATTAACGCGAACACGCACCGCCGTCCAAGGAGATCCTGTCCCTCTACGTAACACGGGGACGCTGTGCACAATTCAGCCTTGACTGTGCCAGCAATCCGCGCGACTGCACTTATAGGCGCGCGAGATGACTTATCTGGGAAAAGGCGCTGCGCTTCGAGGCAAGAAAAATGCGATTATCGGGAACACCGGAACACACCTACGCCATAATCAGAACCGTGCATTTTGATTTGCACGATCGCACTTTTAACACGTAGCAAAAACTTCATTTTGTTCATAATGGACAAATTTTCCAAGTTACATTGATCAATATAATTCCTGAAATAATAATTGATGATTCCTTTTTTAAAAATTAATAAATTTTAAGATAAATTTTTAAATCATGACTTTATAATGTCTAAAATATTTTGCTAATTAGCTGTCTCATGTTCTCTTTAACATTATAATTAATAAAATATTTTTTACTTCCATTAGAGAAACTAAAATAGGATCTCACCTATCGCATATTTTATTTTTCCTTTTCCTGTTATATTATTTAGAAAAAAAGCTGCTTATATTAGTAATTGTGGTTAGTAGATACAAATAAAAAAACATTAGTTTCTTTAATTTTTAATAATGTTATCCTTCAGCTGAAGGAGATATATAGTTGAACCTTGAACGATAACAACCTGCGTGATTACGTAGGTTTATGCGCGAGCCAATTCATCTGGAAAGGCATTCTATGATCACGCACCAGCGAAAATTACATCGTTCATTATTAAGGAACTAGAAAGTTACGGCTGTTACCGTTAAATAGCCTTCGCATTATTTACTTTGTACGTACATAGAGAATACCTGAAGTATTCAAAGAAACTTGTCACGAATAGACACGCCCGTGATATAAAAATTAAATGCACTTATATCTCGAGATCACAAACATAATAATGTTTCTTGTATGTTAGGTATTATTTAAGTTGTATTAAAAATGCATAATAATTATTCAAAGATCAAAATATACAAAAAATTTGTGGAAAATTAAAGGAAGTGTCTTATGTGTCTAACGTAATAATGATCTACAAATTAAATAATATGAACATATGGAACAAGTACGTGTACTCGTATAAAGATATATTATTGATGAATAATATTAATGAATATAAAATAATAAATGAAAAATAAACCTAAGCACTTATTTTTTATCTTAGTTTTTATTTCGTTTAAACGAGGTAAAAATTTAAAAAGAATAGAATTAGCTTCCCGGACTTCCTTAAATAAAATTAAATAATAATTAAATATCTTTCCAGAAATTATGCATTTAAATATAGTTCATGGAACTTTAAATGAAAAATGGCAGCTGTTTAATATCTATAGTTAAAACATTATTGAATATTAATGTAAAAAGATAACTGTATTAAGTTGAATTGATATGTAACGGACATATATATGTACAAACAATTTCTTTATAAATAAATATTATGGTAAGAATTTAGAAAATTAATTTAAGACTTGAATGTAATGGTGATAAAAATCTCAAAGATCACAACAAAAAAAGTAATGAATTTCATTAAATTTTTAATCTCTGAAGAAAAATTCCGTTTCAAAAATTTACCTATATGAATCTATAATCGACGAAATTGCGAGGCATTTTCTAGGGCATCTATGTGCGAGGGTGACAGTCTTCTCAAATCTACAGACGTGTGTAAAATGATACGTAAGCGAGAGAGGAAAAACAGGCAATTAGCAGATACAGGCAACAACGATAACGACAACAACGATGATGAAGATAATGATTGGACTGATGCCGCGATGGACTTACGCCGCGATGCTCTTCGACAGGGGCCACCGTTCCATGGACGCCTGGTACTTCATATTCTCGATCTGCTTCTTCAGTGCGTCCTTGTCCATGGTGGCGAGTACACTGGGATCCATGGTTACAGCCGCACCCCCCTTGTCGCAAATCGGGAACGGGATGGCGCGTGCGCCTACACAGGAAAATCAATAAGAACGGCTTGAGAGTAGCTATCGGACGCTACGTTCGTAACGTGAACGATGGTCTCGTCAGGGTTGAGAGGAAAAGAGAAAACTCGGCCCTGCGAGAGAATGAGTATCTCGAGATCTCATCACAGTGATTTACTGATCACCGGCGATAGATTCATTTGTGAAACATGACGAATGCAAACCGATGTAGAGAAACATCCGATGGAACCGCAAAGAATGCTTGCTATTCAGTATTGCCTTTTGCATACGCATTTTGCCGATCCATAGTTGAGAGATACAAAAATTCAAATGCCCTTTGACCTTTGAATTGCAACGAGCCTCTTCTACCCTTCTCAATTCAATGTTCTGAATAACGAGATGTTTAAAGTGGTTCTAGTTATAACTCGAGTCACTTTATATCTTCTGTTAATATTTCAACTATTATAATTAATCTAGAACACTAGAATAACACTTTCATTTTTTGTTTATATTATATTATTTATCAATTATCCCTCTTATTCTATTAATTAAAAGTACATGTTTATAAAGAATCAACGTATTTTGTAAAAATATAAGTCTTCTTACATTTTCTAATATACATTACGCATGTTCCATATGATATTTAATATCCCTATTTAATATTCCTAAAGATAATCTTTAGTATAAAAATAGATCTTATGACCTATAATCACCTTCATTGTAACATTAATCTATAACCCCATTAATCGTAAAAACACGCCTGCGTTGTTACTGACGTTAATTTGATCTTAATAGCACATCTCACAATGACTATTTAATTATAGATAATCTTTGATAAAGCGCATACTGTTACAACGTCTGATTACGATCTTGCATTCACGTGATTTATGAGAATTCAGAGAGTAATTTCGCAGAAGAAAGCAAATGCTGCAGTGCACTCGATATCATCCATTCCGCCGTCCTTTAGAAGGATTCCGCAATGCTGTTTTCCATTATAATTGTCAGGCTCGTTAGCAATTTTTAATGTCCATTTTGAGTATCCCGTAGCTTCCAAAGGTACATCCATGATCGTGTTCCAATCGCCTTCTTCATAGAGATCGTGTACGCCGAGCCATGCCTGATTTACTTTGTTCTCCTCTAAGATGTGTAGCAGCAATTTTTCCTCCGAATTGGAGTTAATGATGGCCAAATGACCTACATCGATAGGTAGATTCGCATTAATTCGATAAAGTTATGTAATTTTGTTTTTCGATTTTTTTTTTGTTTTATTGGACGCCATACTCTTCATACAAAAGAAAATTTAAGAAATAGAGTTCATATTGAGAGAGAGAGAGAGAGAGAGAGAGAGAGAGAGAGAGAGAAGAGAGAAACATCATTGCTCATAGAAAATGATAAAAACAGAGCATTTCGATGAGCCGTCATCAAATAAAATCACTGTTAGAAACTCACCCCCTTCTTCAATACAAATTCTACGAGCTTTGTTCCATGTCAACTTGCGAACGTGAAGTTTATGAGCACCTATGCCAGGTGTGATAAGGTAATCGCTTCCTGCTTTTTCTATTAAATTGGTACCGTCTTGCATTTTCCATTCTTGACGCGGCCCGTAAATGTAAATAATCTGCTGTGCGGGAGACAAATTTCCATTTGCGTTTGGTAATAATTTGCCTGAAGCTGTAGGAAAATCTTGTGAACTTTTTGAAATATTTTCGCCTACAACGATTACGATGGAATACATATATATACATGAAATAAATTAAATATCATTAATGAAAGATAGATATTCAATTTCACATTCAAGACATAACATAGTAATTATAATATAATATTTCTTTCTTTCTCTTTTTTAAGTCTTAGATAAATTACCAAAGCGAGATATATTTTGCAATTATTTTTTTATATTAATTTACTTATCAGTCCGTTGATTACTGTATCAGTTGAAATTCTATTTTCCGATGCCACAAGGTATATTATCGTGTATAAAAGTATCACTAACACACATCGCAACATGATTGTCATATTATTACGTTGAAAATATAAATTTTCGAGAACAAATATTACGAGTGACAATGGTGAATGGATGCGCTTATTTATATTACGTGATAAAAAATTATCATCACCCACTTAGTAAGGAAGTAGCGATAAGCTTTTTGATATCACACACTGCACACTAATATTTTATATTTTATAAATATTCAATAAAAACAAATTATAAAAGTAAATAAATTAATGAAGTTTATTATTTCCTTAAAAATTTGTAAAATATGTTGAGAATTGCACATTTTAATCAATTAAAAAATAAATCTTTCTAAATTTTTGATATATGTGTCTCTTCCCTATGTGCGTGTGCGTATACTTTAACAAGCAGAATGTATAGTATTATTTATCAATTCGAATTATTTGAATGTGTTAAGTTATCGCAACAGGGTTCTCACTGGAATTTCCATCATTATCAGTATTGTGTATTGCTTGACAATTTCATTAATAAGAGTAATCATATTATGAGATATTGCGACTAAAATATCACATAAATTATTCATAAGCTGCCAAATAAAATTGTGAACAATCATATTTAAGTATCCAATACGATTTCTTACAACATAAATATCTTTTATTTTCAGGCTTCGCAACTTTATTTAATTTATTAAAATTAAGAAACTTATAAAAGAATTCATAAGCGTAGATTTTGAATCGTTTCACGAAAAACTTTATTTGTTCCGTTAATATGTATTAGTAGATATGATTTCACAATCACAGTTAAATAAACGCCGCAATTAAACAAATCTTCCGGAAAATGAAAATATAATATATAACGCATGAATGCGCGCACAGGATTATTCTTGAGAGGAAATGCAGCGTAATTGCATTCCAGTGAAACTCAAACATCAACTATAACGTAGGATTTACTGCTAACATAAAGCAACAATAAATTTTCGCATTTTGCAGTATAATGATTGCACGAATTTTACATTGTCCTCACATTCTTGCGAAGATATGGAAAATTTACAATTGATTTTTGCGTTCTATTTAATAACATTTACAATTAATCGTTAATTATTTGCAGCTTTACGATGCAACAAAACTATTTTGAGGCTTCACATAAATTAATCTTTCTATTATTTAATTAAAATTTTTGCATTAAGTAACAATTATTATTATTTTATGTTTAAATCGGTTTGCAATCGTCGCTGTTAATTTTAACCGTTAAAATGTACAAAAAATATAAATCGTGGAAAGAGTTCAAGTATGGTACTCACCTAGGCGAAGAACAACGGAATTCTGTGGCGATGTGACTTTTAACGGGTTTCGCGATTCACTTATGGAAGCCTCAGAAAATCCAGGCAATCTAATTTACTGATAATTTCACGCTAATATCTTGAATCGCCGTCAATGCAGCTACATTCGTTGGCGAATGGATTGAACTTAATCTTAATGGGAAGGCATATCTGCGATGTCCAATTATTAGTTTTATATACATATATGGTATTAAAATATAATTCAATCAATTATATAAATAAATAAATAACATACGAATATATTAAAGTCAAGTAAAAGAGACCGATGTGTGGGCATCGATTTACGCCGCAAACGATATAAGAAGATACCATATCTCGATGATAGGTATATACGTACACATGCGAGAGTAGTATGTAGGGTGCTTTTCATTTAGTGACAGAAACATCTTTCTTGATATTCAGAGAGCAACAAAGATAGAATGATACTTGTGTCGACCATGGCTGTGTTCCAAATTTACTGCCAACACTGAAAATGTGACAGTTTACGTTACGTGCACTATAGATTTTCAGTACAGGCATTCAATTTTGGAACATAGCCTATCCTTGCTTACCAGTAAGGACACAGTCAGACAATGGCTACGTTTACACCGTGCATTTAGGCCGCGGCCTATACAATAGATGTCCTTGTTTATCTTGTAGGTTAACACTTATCGTATAGGTCGCGGACTAAGCGCACGGTGTAAACGTAGCCATTGTCACCAAATGGAAAAAACTCATCACCGAGGCGGGTGAGCATAGCACGGAACAGAACCAAAAAAGCATAGACATAGCATGTTACCATCAGACATATTTATGAACATGGCTACGTAGTTGATATTCACGTTTTGCGCACATGGAGGCGCTAATAGACTAGCTTCTGTCTACTCACACTCTGCTGTCACTCTGCTGTATGTATATACATGCAATCAGCTCGATCAGCTGTGCAATTTGTGCGTACGCATAAGCGAGTGCAAGCGAATGTGAGCGTAGACTGTATATGGTGCGTGAAAACGATGTTTTTCTATTCTTTTCTCTCTCTTCGTGCTTAAAGTAACAATTTAATTTGTAATTTTATTAAAGTGGTAAGTGAATAAATACGGAATTCTTTTAAAATTGATTTCTGTCGGTTGCTTGAACACAGAAAGTTTCATTCTAATCTCCGACTCGTAACCTTATTTTCTCTTTTATAGACACAACAGGAGAAGAACTAATATTGTTCAATCAAGATGAGTAAATACGTGAATCTGATGAACGTGGGCACTGCTTATGCTATACGCATGAATCGCTTGAGTAATCGAATCTTTGGCGAAGTAATCAGACCAACTAATCAGAAATCCATGAAAGTCTTGAAGCTCTTTAGCGAAAAACCGGTGAACAAACGACCGGAGATCGTAGAATATTATCCAAGATTTAAAGAAACTGAGCTATTGATGACACATCTGCGCGATTACGGCCTGTTCAGGGATGAGCATAAGGACTTCAAGGAAGAATTCCAACGTTTGAGAGAACTTCGCGGTAAAACTAAATGGGTACCACCGCCCTACAGAAATCAACCCAAACCATCCTAAGATTCAAATAATTTATAATTGAGTGTAGCAAATACAACAAAAAACTTTTCTGAAGAGTGTGTATCTCATTTGTAAATAATAAATTATATGCTGTTTTTAGTACAATTGATACTATTTTTATTTAATAAAACAATTCGTACTTCTAAAAATTATTTTCTGGCGTGTTAAAAAAAACTACAAACTTGT